TGACCGATTTGAGATCTAATTACAGCCGCGGCTATTGAGAATTCCCTCTTGTTTTTTGTTTTTGTAATCTTTCTAGCCTGATTACATCAATGAGGTTTAGTTTTTGATACTTGCATATCGCAGCTCTCACTCCTCTTATCTATCTTCAGGCCACAGTTTAAAATGTTAATGAAAAATGAAACCTGCACTGTGACCAAACTTGACAAAGAGATTTTGTAACCTAAGTCTAGATAACATTACACTTACAGGAGATAACATATTAACCTTTAACAAATCAAAGAAATAAGGTATAGTGAAAAAATTATTGGCAATAATAATCTAACATTCATATTATATATATGTATTTTTTAAATCTGCCAGATAAATGGGAAACTTCATAAGATGGAAATAAAAATTCAAAATTTAGAAGTAAATTCAAAAAGTTAATACATAAATTTTATAACAGATACATCAAAATACACTTCCCTTTTAATGTTACTCATAAAATAGAAAATAAGTGCAACACAGAATCCAATACAATACCACGCATAAAAGAAATTTCGACAATGGATTATGTAAAAATACATATCAGAAACACCCTTTGACACAGATACGTGTATAAACCACAGAACAATCCATATTTCCTACATTATGAATGGTAACCGGTTATATTACGTTGTCATACTTAGTTTTATTTTACTTTATATTTAGACTTTCATAATATATATATTATTTTAAGGACTTGTGAAATAAGCTTACAAAGGATCAAAGTCAACTCACTGTGGTGACAGGCCTTTATTAAACCGATTAAGATACCAATTACCTAATACAAAGTTCTGTCGGCAATGTTATCCACCCAAAACTCAACCTTGCCTATATGTATCTTCAAAGGCACGTACCAACTTACCAGTAGCTACAGGTGGACTTGGGCGGACGACGACCCACCTACTCAACACCAAGGTCCACCAAATTAGAGTCGGCTTGATGGTTCCCACATCTGAATACGTCATACATAGCGCTTTTTTTAGCACCCTCTAACTTGCCTCCCAAGGTTTGTACGCCTCCTACCCGTCCATCAAAACTTCAGGCCCACCCACAATTTTGTATCTGGCTATGGATTGCCATCAAACCAAGTACTAGTCATTACTTGATGTCAATACTCCTGCTGTAACTTGGCGGTTGGCCGAAAAGAAATCCATTTTCTCTCCTGTTGCACGACAGGATGTGGACATTTAAACCAAAATGTCCTCATTATTGCAATCAACTCCCCTGATTACTTCTGAGGTTTTCTGGTGTTTTATATATTAAATGTTTAATTTGTATATTTGTTGGATTTCGCGCAAAGCTACACGAGGGCTAAGTGCACTAGCCGTCCCTAGTTTTGAAGTGATAGGCTAGTGAGAAGGCAGCTGATCAACACTACACACCCCCAACTCTTGGGTTACTCTTTATCGGACCGGCACGGCCCCAAAGTGCTGACGCGATTGTTTTATATTTTTTCTTGCGTGGATAACGGAACACGAACTATGGAACCTCAGCTCCACAGTCTGTCGCGCTCGGCCCAGAAGAAGTGATTTCACCGAAATGTGTTTAATAATTTCCTTAGACTGAATGTTGTTACATACAAAAAATATATAACAATTACTTAATATGGTCCAATATGTGGACAATAGTGAACAATATATAAATCAAGTCAATAATTCTTGGGTAAACGGAAATTGTTAAAATCTCCACGTTTCGTCTTCCAAAATTACTACAAATTTCTGAAAAGGCTCACCTATTTCGAAATAAAAGTAAACGTTTTAGAATAACCTCCTGACAGCCTTTACTTTCGAATTTTAAACTTTTCTTCGTAATTTTATCCAGTATTTCAATATTGTATAAACTTCAAGTAAAAACATCTGTTCTTAGATATCCAAA